ATCAATCATCTCGTTGGATTTTTGTGTTGCCGTAGCTTTGGCATGATCTACAACAGCCTTGGTTACAGACTCAGTGGCAGTCGGTTGTTCTAAGACTGCTGGCTCTGTTGTGGCAACCTGATCAACTACGGCTTCTTTCGATTTCTTCGTCTTTTTTACTACTGTTTTGGTGACTTTTTTAGCTTTTGCTGTTTCCACTACAACGCCAGAGCTTGAGCCATTGATAGTTAAGCCATTAGCCTGCATTTTTTGAACCGATTTTGCACCAATACCTTTAACGCGGTCAGCAAAATCTTGCGCGCTCTTAAATGGTCCATTGCGGTCACGTTCTGAAATGATTAATTCCGCTTTTTTAGGCCCCAATCCTTTAACCGATTCTAAGCTGGAGCGATCCGCTGAATTGAGTTCCAGTGCTAATAGTGTGCCACACAACGATACCCCGATCATAGAAAGCAAGGCAAAAATTGTTTTACGCATGTCAATTTCCTTTATTTAATTTTAGTGATCAGATATTTGATCAACATTAATTTTAGCAAATTTTTAGAATTTTTTCATGGGATATAGGTCATGACAAACGACATTCACTAGGGAATGATCTCGCCAAAAACACACGGTCAAACCGCACCTCTCGTTATCACAGGATCTGTTTCGCAGGCTCACGATATGGGAACAGTGTAAAAGTGTTAAAATTTGCTCCCTATGGTCGGAGGAGGAAAAAAATGGCAAATATCTTGTTAACTGGAGCGACAGGTTTTATTGGCTCACATACTTGGGTGGCATTGCAACAAGCGGGCTATCGTATTGTCGGACTGGACAACTTTACCAATAGCTCGCCACTCGTGCTCAAACGCCTCGAGTCTTTAATTGGAGCAGTGGTTTTTTATGAGGCTGATGTTCGTGATACTCAAAAAGTTGCTGCCATTTTGACATCAGAAAAAATTGACGCTGTCATTCATTTTGCGGCACTCAAATCGGTCGGCGAATCGGTAAGCCAACCAATAGAGTACTACAACAACAATATCAATGGCTTGATAAGCTTATTGACGGCTATGCAACAAGCGCGCTGCTTTAAAATTGTGTTTAGCTCTTCAGCTACCGTGTATGGCAATCCGCAATCCGTGCCCATTTTCGAGACGGCTGACACCCAAGCGACTAATCCTTACGGCCAAACAAAACTGATGTGCGAAACAATACTCAAAGACGTACTCGCTAGTGACCCCATTTGGCAATCCATTATCTTGAGATATTTTAATCCGGTGGGCGCGCACTCCAGTGGCACAATTGGAGAGGATCCCAGAGGAATACCTAACAACTTAATGCCGTATATTGCGCAAGTTGCTGTTGGCAAAAGAGCTTTTTTGAGCGTGTTTGGGGATGACTATGATACCATTGATGGCACGGGGGTACGCGATTACATTCATGTGTCCGATTTGGCGCAAGGGCATCGTGCCGCGGTAGATTATGCTTTAACACACTCAGACAGTCATGTGATTAATTTGGGAACGGGTAATGGCTATAGTGTGTTGCAAGTTTTACAGGCTTATGAAAAGGCATCAGGAAAATCTATCCCTTATAAAATTGTTCCACGACGTGCCGGTGATATAGGTAGTTGTTATGCGAATTGCGATAAAGCTAAGGCCCTTTTAGGCTGGCAAGCGCAATACGATTTGTCACAAATGTGCGCAGATTCATGGCATTGGCAAAAAAACAATCCCGATGGATTTGGGGCGTAATTATGGTATTATCTTTTTCTAGGACAGTCACAGGGAAGCAGGGCTACATGCCGTTCATCCATCGCAATAAGCCTAATATAACATACGAAGTCCTTTGATACGTTCGTTTTATGTGCTGGTTTGCTATGAATCATAGAGCATGACCACCCTGTGATTAGTGATTACTCTTGAGATGGCATGCCAATGTCCCCTAGCCTGCACAAACCCCCATTCCAGATAGGATGTGTGTACACATTCTCTTTCAACAAAGTGTTTCGAGAAAAGGTGGCGAAGACAAGGCTGGTGTAAAGGCTAAAGGGGTTCTCACAAAATAGCGTTTTAAAGAGCGCAGGTTAAAGCGAAATGATAACAAAGCCATTGCCAGTAACAAATCAAGGAAGCGTGACAAAATGTACGGTTGATAACACAAATAGAATTCTACCCATACTCATGCAAAATGCGGCTCTTGACCCTAAACTCATCATGGCTTTGTCACCATTTCACAGGGCGTTGAGAACAAGCATGGGTATTAAACTCAAAATGCAATAATTTTTAATAGTAATTTATCCTATACTTATGAGTGATAACACATTTGGGCGCTTATTTGCGGTGACGAATTTTGGCGAATCACATGGAAAGACTATTGGCTGCGTCGTTGACGGTTGCCCCCCTGGATTAGCCTTAACGGAAGCCGACTTACAAGGTGACTTGGATCGTCGCAAGCCAGGGACATCCCGCTTTGTCACACAGCGGCAAGAAGATGACAAAGTACAAATTGTATCTGGTGTTTTTGAGGGTGTGACCACAGGCGCGCCCATTGCGTTGCTCATTCAAAATCAAGATCAGCGTAGTAAAGACTATGGTGAAATTGCTGTCACATTCCGACCCGGTCACGCAGATTATACCTACTGGCACAAGTATGGTATTCGAGATTATCGCGGAGGGGGTCGCACGTCCGCACGTTTAACAGCACCGATGGTTGCTGCGGGCGGGATAGCTAAAAAATGGCTGAGTGAACACAAAGGTATTAAAATCAAAGCCTATTTGGCGCAAATGGGTACGGTAGTTTTACCTTTTGAAAGCTGGGATTTTGTCGAAAAAAACCCTTTTTTTGCTGCCAATCAAACAGTCATCCTAAAAGCGGAAAGTTATCTTGAGGAAATTCGCCTAGCAGGAAATTCGTGTGGGGCAATGGTTAAGGCCGTTATCAGCAATATGCCCGTCGGAATTGGACAGCCGCTTTATGATAAACTCGATGCAGACATTGCCTATGCAATGATGGGGATTAATGCGGTTAAAGCTGTTGCCATTGGAGACGGCTTTGAAGTGGTAAGCCAAACGGGAAGTGAACATGGTGATGAATTAACGCCCCAAGGTTTTAAATCCAATCATGCAGGTGGGGTTTTAGGTGGCGTTAGCACAGGTCAAGATTTGCGAATTGCCGTCGCCATTAAACCCACTTCCAGCATTTTGATTGAGAAAGATTCCATTGATTTGAATGGATTGCCCGTTAGGGTGAAAACAAAAGGCCGTCATGATCCCTGCGTAGGAATCCGCGCCATCCCCATTATCGAGGCCATGTTGGCATTGGTTGTGATGGATCAGGTTTTGCGCCATCGCGCACAATGCCATGATGTGCTAGTTCAAACACCTGATATTGCTGCACAATCTCGTGATCACTAGGCAATCATGAATTTAAAACGCCCACAAATACTGCTCTCCAATGACGATGGATACCTTGCCCCTGGTCTGTTGGCAATTTACGAAGCTTTAAGTGTTTTTGCAGATGTCCATGTTGTTGCTCCTGAGCGTAATCACAGTGGCGCATCCAGCTCATTAACCCTACACTTGCCATTATCTGTTTACCAAGCCAACTGGGGTCCGCAAAAAGGGTTTACCTACATTAACGGAACCCCCGCTGACTGTGTTCATATCGCTTTAACAGGTTTATTACCTGTACAGCCCGATCTTGTCGTGTCTGGCATTAATCACGGGCAGAATATGGGCGAAGATGTTTTGTATTCAGGCACTGTTGCTGCAGCGATTGAAGGATACCTCTGTGGGGTGCCTGCAGTAGCTTTTTCTCAGGTGGAGCGGGGTTGGACAGAGTTACACAGTTGTGCACAAATTTGCCAACATATTGTTCAAGAATTACTTAAACGTCGTGAGCAGAGGGAAGATGCGCATAACCCATTGTTTTTATTTAATGTTAACATTCCAAATTTACCTGCAAATCAACTCAAAACGATCGCTTTAACTCGCTTAGGTGCGAGGCACCGATCTCAACCTGTCGTTAAACAGTATAACCCTCAAAATGAAGCGATCTATTGGATAGGTCCACAGGGAAATGCTAAAATTGATAGCGAGGGCACGGATTTTTTTGCCATCAAACAAGGCTGGGTGTCGATGACCCCATTACAGGTAGATATGACTCATCACAGTGCCCTAACGCAGTGGGGGGACATGAACATTAAATCATGATGTGCCTTTACAGTATCTATGAAGCATAAACCCGATTGGCTTTTGAAGCTCCCCGATCAAGATCGCTACGAACCCCATCGCCAAGCGGTGCGTGATGCGCTGCGTCATCGCATTTCAGATCACACCTCTCGCTTGCCCGAAAAGGCACGACAGCAAATGGTCCATCGTTTGGCAGACACGGGCATTACTGACCCATTTATTTTAAATGCTTTTTTAAGCACGCCCAGGCACTTATTTATAGATTCTGCTCTATTATCAAGATCATACGAAAACTCCGCCCTCCCCATCGGACACGGCCAAACCATTTCTAAGCCTTCTGTGGTTGCCAAAATGATTGCTTTGTTACGACAGCGGTGTCCACATCCTCAAAGGATTTTAGAGGTTGGCGGGGGGTGCGGCTACCAAGCCGCCATCTTGGCTCAATTTTCAGCACCCGTATATTCTATTGAACGCATTGCCGCCTTGTGTGATAAAGCACAACGAAACATCGATGCGCTCGCGATGCACATCAAAACCGAACAAATTACACTCATCCACGGAGATGGCTATTTGGGTTTGCCTCAAGTCGCGCCTTTTGATTGGATCATTATGGCGGCGGCGGCCCAGCGAACCCCCCCCGATTTAATCGACCAACTTAGTCCTGGTGGCCGATTGGTTGCCCCCATGGTACTCGACAAAGGGCAACATTTACTCGTACTCGACAAATCGATGGATGGAAAGTTATCGGAATATGTTGCTGATGCCGTACATTTTGTACCGTTTTTGTCGGGTTGTGTCTAATTGTGAGATAATCTGGTATTCATTGTGATGACCCGTGCACAAAGACCAACAGGTGATTCCCTAACACCCAAATTGCAGGAATTCAATAAAGTTGTAAAATCCGCGTTGCGTGGGACTACAACGGCATAATAGGTTGGTCGTTTTGGGCAAAGCCAAATCTTGGGTTTGCAGAAATGAGCAGAACATGTGGCATGCGTGCAAAATCATCCAAAGACTGAGTACCTTCGTGATTATTTGATCGACTATTGCAAAAAATACCACACTCGCTAGCGCGTGATGCATTAAAAATCGATTAAATCGCTGCTCCCAGTGTGCAACATATTTAAATTTAAGGATTATAATGAACAAGCGATTGACATTACCATTCATTTTCATCAATTTAACGCTCGGTGCTTGTACGGTGAATACCACCCCGATTATTGATCGAAGTGGAATGTACAAAGAGCCGCCGATGGTCATCGATCAAAAGCCGGTCGTAGCTGTCCCCCCTGTATCTGACTCTAAGCCTATTACTGAGAGCAAACCTGTTGTGGTGAATGAAACCGCGAAGATTGTGCCCCCTCCTCCTGCGAACACGGTTGAAACGCCAGCTTGTAGTGATGACCCCTCCACTCCGGCCGGCTTCTACAAGGTACGCCCAAAGGAAAACCTCTACCGAATTGCCCTATGTAAGGGCGAAAACTACGAAAACCTAGCGCGTTGGAATCAACTAGAAGATGCCAATCAAATTAAAGTGGGTCAGCTCATACGTTTAACCCCACCTGAAACGCCTACCCAGTTAGCGGCGGTCGATGCCAAACCCAGCCCAGCGGAAGCTACAAAGGTGGACGCTGTAAAACCTGCGTCTTCTGAAGTGCAATTTTCATGGCCATATAAAGGCGACATTCTCAATAAATTTAATGGCAGCAAGAATAAAGGTATTGATATTGCAGGCCAAGTTGGTGACCCTGTATTTGCATCTGCTCGAGGTAAAGTGGTATATGTTGGCAACGAGGTCAAAGGCCTAGGCAACTTAGTGATTGTAAAACACAATGAAACTTATGTTACGGCATATGCGAATAACAATGCTGTATTAGTTCAAGAAGGACAACAAGTGTCACAGGGACAAGCCATTGCTAAAGTGGGTTCCTCTGGAACAGACCGAGTCCAGTTGCATTTTGAAATCCGTAAAAATGGCGTCCCCATAGATCCTGAAACGATGTTGCCCAAATAATCCTTAATTGCTTTAACCCAAATTTTCTATTGGCAATTGATTGGCTTTTGGTTTCAATGGGTTAGCAAAACGACTTCCGTTTGAGGTTTAAATTTTTCTTAACGTGTCGTGCTCCTAATAAATAAATTGGGTTTAAATGTCGATGGATGGCCAATTGCACTTACCCAATAACGATGGAAAGCAATGGATTTTACACTACAATTCCTATCGGGACTATCAGAAACACGAAAGACGAAGAAGATTTTACTTGCACAAGACAAGGAGGGGCGAAATACGCGGTTGATATCAATAAAAAATTACTCATTGATCCGAAATTTGAGCTATTTGCAAAGCTTTAGTTTTCAAGTGTAGCACTGGAAAATACCGATAGAAAATTTTTTCTCTATTGGCTATAGTGTACCGGTAGGTCGTTTCACCACTAATCGTATCGGCGCACTATTCAAAATAATATATCTAAATCAAGTCGTTCATAAAACTAATACACAAAAGTTAAACCCTAGAGAGAGGCAGTAAAACCCCCCCATATCGTAAACGAGAGATAAATGCAAACTGGTCAAAAACCTTATTAGACATAGGCATATAATATGACAGTGCGCGAGGCTGCGTTTGGTAGCTGATCATTAACG